ACAACTAGTAATTCACCCGCGCGATGCACGAAAAAAAAATTATGTTATTATAAATATAAATAAAAAATAGAAAAACTAAAATATTTTAAATTATTTAATATAATAATATTTTTGAGCTTCCATTGGTCAAGTATTTATTATTTTTATAGAATACAAAATTACAATTAAAATTAAAATTATAATTCTAATTATAATTTTGTATGATTAATATAATCTCTAATTATGTGCACATTCAAATAAACTTATAGAGAGAATTTACATAATTACATTGATTTATTCTTAATTGTATTTCATCTATATTATAATTTTCACAATACGAATAATAACTAAGATAATTACATTTGGAAAGCAAATTTCAAATTTTGTATGTCTAAATTTAAACTCTAATTGAACACATTTTTTATATGATTATATAATATATAGCTATTTTATTTTTCAAAAGTATATTTTTTATATGATTATATAATATATAGCTATTTTATTTTTTAAATGTTGTGCTTTTTTTTTTTTTAATTTTATAATAAAAGATGTTGTGGCATTAATTGTAACATTAATTATTTCCCAAACCATATAGCTTTATTATATAAAGGATGTTGATGATAGAAAATACTACTATGAAAATAATAATTAAAATAAAATTTAAAAAAAAAAAAAGCACTAAAGGACAAAAGGTTTGTGGTTTAGTTTGAGTCGAGCGAAATATTATTTTCTTAAAACTCTAGCTACTTTCCTTTAGTGCAGGAGCGTTGTAACTTAGGTTTTCCAAGATAAAACGAACTACGACTTATGGTTTGAGCACTCAAACAATAAGCCCGGGGAACTAGAACACTATAGAACACAGAAATATTTTAAATTAAAATATAAAACTATTACATTTTTTGTCAAAAATATTACATTTTCTTATACAAGTAGTAAACATTTTATTAATAGTATGCTTAGCTTAGTTGGTTGGGCTTGTGGGTAATTAAAGTAAACATTTTATTCTTGATTTTAGTATTAGATTTTTCAATATAAGTATTACATTTTCTTATATAAGTAGTAAATATTTTATTCTTGATTTTAGTATTAGATTTTTCACTATAAGTATTACATGTCATCTTGCCCTGACCCGTCTCAAATATAAGAATCCATGAGACAGTTTCACACAAGTTTTTGCATATATATATATATATATATATATATATATATATATATATATATATATATATATATATAAATCTTGCACACCCTGCATGAGAGCATTCTTGTTTTCATTGGGTGCTAATTGTGGTTCTAGTAATCATTGGACCATGTTTTTCTCTTCTCACCACAATGTGTTCTTCTGACCCTGCAGCCTTGTTGGTGCGAGACGCAATTGTTATGCTGTGGAACCGTGTCCACCGGTGGACAAGGTTCTATGTTTGTAATTACAGAATTATATGTTTATAATTATAAAGTTATATATTCATACTTTATAAATTTTATATTCATAATTATTGAACTCTATATTCATAATTACAGAACTATTTGTTTATAATTACTAAACTATATGTTCATAATTATAAAGTTATATATTCATAATTTTTTTTAATTTCATATTCACAATTATTGAATCTTTATATTCATAATTACAGAATTATATGTTCATAATTATGTTCACAACTCTATGTTCATAATTATAAAATTATATGTTCATATTTTTAAACTATATATTCATAATTATGAACAGTTTTGAAATCGTGTCCACCTTTTACCGTGGGAGAAGCCTCCCTTTCATGTGTCCTCAGCTTTGGATTTTTGAAACTTGATGGTTTCGGGCTGGACATGTGATCACCTTGTGGACTCCCCTAAATATTTTTCTCATTTACTTAATTGCACTACTGACCGCTTCCCCTTACTTTTCCCTCTTAAGCCCAACCCAGTTTTCTCCGCAAATTATACTAGAACCATGATCCACATTGCAATATGAATTATTGATAAATGTTCATTTTGAATAGAGAAAATATCATTTTAAAAAAGATGAAAAAATGCCCCCCACCCTCCTCCTTCGTCTTCGGCTGAGACGAAGGAAGAGGGGGTGGTCGGCGTTCTCTTTCCCCCTTTCTTCGTCTACGGCGGAGACAAAGGAAAAATGGAGAGAAAGAGAACGCCTGCCACCCCACCCCTTTCTTCCTCCCCCTCCGGCAGAGACAAATGAGGAGGGGTGAGGTGGTTGTCATTTTTTTAAATTTTTTTATTTTTAAAATTTTTAATTTAAAAATTATTAAAATAATTTTAAAATAAAAATTAAATAAATTAGCCCGTCACTGGTGACTTGGTCGAAATTTTTACCGAAAAATTTAACGGTAGGACCAAATGTGATACAAGTTGAATAGTCATGCACCTAATTTGAAAATGTTAATAGTCAAGGACCAAATGTGATACAAATTGAATAGTCATGCACCAAAATTGAAAATTTTAATAGTCAAGGACTAAAACTGATACATGTATTATAGTCGAGGGACTAAAAATGATATTTAGTCTTTTGAATATACTAAAGATTCACTATTAATGTACAAAATGTTCATTTTTTAAAAGTATATCAAATAATGAGCCTTCAGTATATGCATTAAAAATGAACATTTAAAAAATGAACATTTAATGTACTAAGAATGAACATTTAGTATACTAAAAATGAACCTGATGTTAGTGATTCATCTTACAAGATAGACCATTGTTCATGGCATAATGATTGGAGAAAAGTCAATCATTATATCGTAGACCATGGTCCACTTTGCAAGATGGACCTTGAGCCAAAATAATGTCATTCGTAACTTAAATAAACAATGTTTTTAGTGGTGCTATTTTTTAGCACAATCATAAACATTGTTGATAATATAAGTACATAATCTGTTAACTATATATCAATAAAATCAATACCTTAAGTCTAGAGTTAATTTCATTTTTTGTCATAGATTTATAGATAGCAATGCATTTTTAGTCTTTTTTTTTTCAGAACATCTACATTTGATCCTAATATCAACAAAACATTTTTAATGCCATTAAATACAAAGGCATTACGGTTTTCAATTATAGATTTTTCAAAAAAAAAAAAAAAAACATAAAATATAGCGTGGTCAACTCACTTTGTATAAAAAATGATATAAATATGTAACATAATTTTTTGATTTGTAATATATAATTTTAATAATATGCTTTTATTAAAATTCTATAATTATTACGGAGTATTTTAATTAAATTTTAGATGATTTAATTACAATTATAATCTTAAATATTTAAAATATATTAATATAGTCAATTTATATATCCGCACGGGAAGTTATACCCGCACCTGAACCTATTGAGACTCAAAACCTAGACCTCCCACATAAGGGAGCAATCCAATACCAATGGACCACAAGCCACTTAGTATGGGGTTGGGGGTTTTTAATTCTTATTATTATTATTATTATTATTATTATTTTTTTTTTTTTTTAAATTCTGTAATATTTTTGAAATAAATAAAATAATTTATTAAAGGTTAACCACCCCGTCAACGGTTAACTTAGAGAACAAATCATTTTTGACTCAATTGCATGATTTTAACTTGTTCAGGAATTCAATTGTTTTTTTTTTTTTTTTTAAATTAAATGGCCTAATTACATTTTCGTGTGTAGTTCAATGATCAATGAACATTTTTCTAAAAATCTAATCACCCTACGCGACAAGATAGCTCACTCGTGATTGATTCCACGCCCACAAGGCGATTGTTATCTTTTGAGTGTGTAATTTAACTAAGGTTCCTTGCTGCCATTACTTAGCATGTTTAGAAAGCAAGGAATGCAAAAAAGCTTTGAAAACTACACTCAAAACAATATAATAATATATATATATATATCATGAAGTTGGGAATGAAAGCATTCATTCAAACAACAAAGTCATGTAGACACTCAAGCCCCAATTCATTGGAAACTAACATCAACTGAAAACATCATTTTTATTTTTAGCACTTGAGCATTGTACAATGTGCATCCACAAAGGATGAAGTAAATCCCCTACTAACAACATAAAGCCCAAAAAATCATGCTTGCATTGAGTATATATATATATATATATATATATATATATATATATATATATATATATATATATATATATATATATATATATATACACATCATAAAAAGGACCCTTGGGAATATGCTTGCATAGTTGCATTGAGGAATAAACCGTGGAAAACAAAACCAAAAAAAAAAAAAAAAAAAAAAAAAAAAAAAAAAAAAAAGTGCTCAGACCTTGCATCAATGAGGCACATCCCGCAATTTACCTCCTCTCACAGAATCCAAGGGCATTGGCGTGAAGGTCTCTTAGGTTTGGGGTTCAAAGGCAAACATTGTTTTATCACGAGGAAAATGTACAAGAACATCCTCGGCTTCCACCAGTGCATGCATAAAGTGCAACGCAAGCCATGCGCCAACACGATACCTGTAATCAAAGAGTCGATGAGTTGAGAGGGTAAGTTACCTCTCACTTATTCTCTCCCAAGACAATCCGAATCACGCTATTACTTGCATGCAAACCAGAAATTTTGACTTTGCCACGGGCAGCAGAGTACCTCTGGCCTTAACGGCCTTGCCAAATGTGAGCAGTTTGAAGAACAAACATGAATAAATACTAAGCCCAAACTACACGTGGATACTCCAACCACCACATGAAACCTGCTTCTTCATGCAGTTTTGTTCATATAAAGCAACAATCAAAGCCCAGCTATAATGGTAATAATTCCTTCCTTAGCATTGTAGAGGCAAGTAACTTATCTTTACAGATATGCCCACCATTTGTTCAGTCATGCTCCAGCTTTAGTTTGAGTACCAAGTGCCAATACCAAACTGTGATCATCCTTGAGAAAGGATAATAGCATTACAAATAAACATTATATCATTTACCCGTTACTGCTCCCTCCAAATGTGTATAACTTGTATCACTGTATCACCAATACCATGACTCCAGTTCTCCCCCTTCAAGTCCCTGGAAAACTTTAATAACCAGATATGCATCCCCACTTTACGTTCCACGACCAAAAAAGGCAATAATCCTCAATAATGCAAAGTTTTCTAGCCACATACGAAAAAATGGTAACTAGCCTGCTGGTGGAAAAATGCATGTTTTGGCAGGAATTCCTTGATACAACTGAAACAAAGATTCTCCAAACAGAATGTCTCTTCATACTCACAATTACTTAAGCAGCATCCACAGCTTATACAGCGAGGAACGCACAAAATACAAGCCCTGCACGACTGGTTCCCATGTTGCATTTTCTGGCAACTTTCGGAAGGGCAATCATAGACTAGTCTCAGCTCCTGGCACCTCGGGCATGTTTCAATGTCAATGGCCCGACCATCATCGAGCGGGAGATACAACTGGTCACCTCGGTAAAAATGCAGTTTACAGACAACAGTTGGTAGCTGGCTGTTAGTAACACCTAAAAGTATCTTCAACTCTTCAAATCCTTCATTTGTTATACCAAACACTCCACCAATTCTGAGACACTTGATTCCTAGATTACCCACACATTTAATGACCTTTAAGATAGACAGAAGACTGTCAAACCTGAGCTTTGTACATCCAGCAACACTAAGCTGCAGGAAAATGGACAGTAAAGTTATGATATTGCTTTCTTAAATAGAACTATATTATGAAACAAATACATAAAATGTAATTATGTAACTTGTGTCAAAGAGGGGGAAGCATAGCAATTTAAGATACCAAAAAAAAATGCAATGAGTGAAAAGAGAACGAAAAGGATTTCTGACCATAACTGTGGCTCTCCCAAATGGGAGGTTACAGGTTCGATTGTTCGAACCCCAGTGGGGGCATTGACTCTTTGTGCTTCAATAGGTTGAAAAAGTATGTACAGACAGATACTACATTGTAACAGAGTCAATAGTACTCAAAAAAAAAAAAAAAAAAAATTACAACATTAGAAATTATTCCACATCTACAGCAAGAATGGATGTTAAGCCACATATAATTTTTATTTCCCGACACAAGGTTGCTTGCTGCTCTCTGTCGTCACTATTCACATATACCCATATTCATATCACTATCTAGTAGCACATTGTCAATTCAGAGCTTAAGCCCATGACATAATTGCTGATGGATCGTGGGTGAGCATCGGGACACTGCACCAAGCCCAACCATCTGTTAACAAACTTATGAATTGAATATACCAAATATATGATGCCCAAACACAGATGTAGAAAGCATTAAAGTACCGAGCAAAACACAATACCCTAATTGATTTTCTTTCAACATCACAAGAATTCCAAAGAGAACCAGTTATAATTAATTCTCACATGACACTAGCAAACTTCAGGTTATAATTGCATCACAAGTAATTCATGGTTATTAAAACCTTTAACAATAGTGATAAGACTTGGAACTCTAATTGAGGATGCCATAATGATGCATAATTGAACATATAATCCACAAAGATTACAAGGAGCTAAAACATTAATCAAACAAAGCAGATTAACAATATAACTAACCTCTGCTAGCCTTTGATTCCTTTCAAGTACAAGCTTTAAACTATTCTCAGAGATCTTCGAGCACTCCACAAGACTCAAGGACTTGAGATTGCCTTGAGCCCTGTTTGTCAACTGCAAAAGAGCATCATCAGTTATCTTATCACTCAATGAGTGATCTATGTGGATACTTCTCCATAGAAGTGGGTCATTCTGCACGGCGTCACACAAAGATTTGCAAACCCTTTGAACAGAAAGCAGGTCCTTGACTCCTAGTTTACAAAGAGCCAAAAACAGAGCATCTGGTGGAGCAACAGCTCCCCCGAAATCACCTTCTGTGATCCCTTGATGCGCGCTGTTTGTTGCATCGTTATAAAAACAATACTTTTCATAATGGAAACCCATGAACTCCTCCCTTTTACCATCAAAAAGAAGATGGCTATTGAATAGTCCATTCCCGAAATCCATTGCACAAGCAGCAGAATTCTCATTCACCTTCTCACCACCCATCTTTTGATTATTATTATTCGCAATGGGGGTGTTCCATAGAAAATTGAATCCTGCAAATAATTGATTGTCCACTTCTCCAACCTCAATCTCATCAGCCTCAAATCCAAGGGTCTTTAACCCTCCATCTTTCTCAATACCTTCTATTAAACCTGTTATTGTGGTCCCAATATCCATATCAAAAGGATCCGGAGGCAACAAATCAGCTACATCATCATCAGAAACCCTCTCGTTTAGCTCCCATCTGTAACCTTGAGAATCCCCATTCTCACAATTGAAACCCCAGAACCTACCAAAGCCATCCAGTTTCTTATCTGGGCACTCCTCCACAATACGCCTATTCTCAAACTTGATCCCAGTGATCAAGCTCTCTCTTTGATTCATCATCGCCTTCGTGTCTCCGCTTTCCCCTCACAATCTAACCAAATCAAATCAACAACACGTACACCACCGCAAAATCCAATAACCCACACACCAAAACAACGAAACACCCCTAGTTTTATCCGTGGGAACCGAATCTCAACAGCATTCCACAAGAAAACCCTCGATTCTTGAATGCAAACTAAAAACACGCACCAAGAATTTCACGGAGATTCTTGCAAATCAATCACCAACAACAACAAGATGTTAGGAATACGCAAGAACTACCCCCCTCTAATCTAAATCAACAATCGTGGTAAAGAAAAATGATATGTAGCAGCAATTAAAGATAACAGAAACAGAAACAAGAAGGGAACCGTGGGATTAGCAGAGAGAAATGAAGCAGATAGGGGATAATCAAAGAAGATTTCGGATTCTAATAGAAAAGGGAGACTATGACGATTAAGAATCTAGTCCGAGAAACAACGGAACGTTTGACCAATTACACAATTACTACGTATATAAAAATGTGTGTATGTATACGACACATATACACAGCGTGCAAGTATCGATGTATGTATACCGTAGTTGGAGAAAACGGGATCGCTAATTCTGGTGGATGAGAGAGACGTAGAGCTGTCTTGTTGCGGAGCCTTCTTTCAATTTTACCCCATAATTAGGAAACTTATTATTTATATTTTCAATAATTAATTCCTTTTTTTTTTTAATTATTTAACAAACATTAAACCCCTCTCCCATTATAATTATAATTATAATTATAATCATAATCATAATAATAATAATACCCGCAAATCAAATAGAGGATAATAAATTTCTTACTTTAACATTAGTAATACTATACATTGTTTCAATAAGTTTTTTTTAGCCCTACCTGGCTTAGCATAATAATTTGTTGGAGTCAATGTTACAACTGAATGTGACAATATTGAGTTCGAATTTAACTGAAAACATAAATAGGAAATTGAATACACAACTAAAGTCTCGGCACGACTTATGATTTATCTTGACAATGACTTTAAGGGCGGTTGGAATCACCTAAAGTATAAAAAACTATATAAATATCCATTAAAATTTAAGTAATCACTCTATTATGCATTAAATGAGAATTTTTTGGGTCCATACATTATAGATTAACGTCTATCCTGTCATCTTAGTTAGTCTATAACCACTTTTTGAAATAGTTAGCATATATACTATTGCATGTATCACCTTTTCCATTTCAAATTTTATGATCTTATCTTATTATTCATATATGTCTGTTAGTTTTCTTTCTCTTTTTTTTTTTTGAAAGCTATATGTCTGTTAGTTAATTAACATATAAAAACTCATTTGAGTAGCGGTATTAGATAATACCAAATTTAATGATTATTCGGTCGTAGGTTAGTCAGCCGGTCAGTCTATCAAGTGAGGATTAAGTAGTCCGAGACTACATTGTAATGTAGTCAGGGGCGGAGCCACCCCTTGGTATAGGGGCCCACCCCACCCCCACCCCCACTCCCATTTTTAGTAAATATAGGTATATATTATTATAATATGGATAAATTACAATTTTGACCCCCTCTTAATTTATTTTTTTTTATAAATAATCTATTATGTATATATTAAATGAACTCGAATGTTACACTTTTCGTCCCTAAGTTATGGGATAATTGTAGAATTCGTCCATAATTGTTGGTCGTGTTCACTTTTCATCCCTAAGCTATAATTGACGTTGCAAATTTCATCCTTTTAATAACATGTAGTGATCACTCTTCCTTTCTAAGCTATACTTCGTTCCTAATGTTTTGTTAGTAAAGGGACGAAATTTGCAATATCAATTATGGAGTATATTTTAGGGATGAAAAGTAAGCACGACTAATAATTATGAATTCTTCAATTACCCTATAACTTAGTGATTAAAAGTGTAATTTTTCTTATTTTTTACTATTGTATGATTTTTGTGTTATGTAAAACACTCAAAAGTAATGTTTGACAATCTTAACGATCGTACTCATATAATTATATATTTCATATATTATTACACATAGTATAATTATCAATAATAATTGGCACAATCATATATATATATATATATATATATATATATATATATATATATATATATATATATATATATATATATATATATATATATATATATATATATATATATATATATATATATAATAATAATAATAATATTGTGTGGTTGGTACTAATATCGAGTATCGACTAAGATGATAAATTTTCTCTATAAATTTGGCCCCCCCAACCCCGACTTTCTGGCTCCGTCACTGCAAGTAGTGAATGGTAACAAGTGAAATAGATTGCAATGTAGAGTAAATCACGAGTGGTGTGATGTTACAAGTAGTGTGTTGCCAATTGCTATTACAAGGAGATGGATATGATAAGTGAGGGGGAGACCCTCCTATTTATACTAAATAGGTCGCTCTAAGCATTTAATGTTCTGCTGTAAGTGGCTTGACGTGACGCGTTCTCGTTGGCTTGGATAAACGGTCGCCCCGCAGCTACGTGTAGGTTGACTGTTCCATGTGACGGAGTCGTTATTCCTGCAAGTGCAAGTGAACTTCCTTTACTTGTAGTGTAAGCTAAGTTATCTTGCTCGTGAGTGCATTGCACCGTAGGTCCACTAGTCAACCTACGGTAGATCGGCCGGGTGGAGCTCCGTCGGGGTGATTTCAAGGGTGATTCGAGAACATCTTCATCTGTCACGAGGCCTATCGATATGAGCGGTACGGTTGATCACAAGTGATTTAATTAGTTCTCTCGAGTTGATGGCTGTGACGAACCGGCCGGGTAACTCTTTGACGAACCGACTATACGAATTAGTCCTTTATGTGTATTTACCCATCACGAGTTCCCCACTTCTTGAATCCGCGAGAGTCGTCGAGGTTCGAGAAGTGAAAATATTTTCCTTGTACTTTATTCCTTTCGGCTTGTCGCGGAGTGGTTCGATAAGTCCAAAGAACATATGGGAGCTCCTCTACCCATCCTCGGGCTGCGCTCTACAACCTCTTCTTCAATACGTAAAAAAAAATTGAATTTTTCTGCAGAAAAAAAAAAGTGACAAAAACAACAAGTTAGATGAAAAATAGCATGTCATCATTTTGTTTTTATTTTATTTTGCCTTGTAAGAAATTAAATGGGTTACTTGTTAGAAACTTGCTAAAAATGCTAGATGAAAAATAATTGAGAGTATAATAGCTTAGATGAACCATATTTTAATTCATGGGGCTAAATGAACAATCAATGTTAGTGCATGGACCTATTTTACCCTTTAGCCTATAATATATGGAGTCTTTAAAAAAAATTTAAAATAAATTAAAAACAATAGGATATACTGACATTTAAAGAAATTCAATATTTGTACACGTTTTTAGTTATTGACATCTCATGGTTCATAAATAGCCTTAAATATCATCATATGCGAATATTTATTTGAAATTTAAATCTTTGTTACGTGTTAATTAAAAACTCTTGGAGTGAACAGAATAGAATTGTTCTTTCACGAATCACTAGTACATAATTTTCCTACCGTTTAGTTATAATTATTTCTTTTATCCAAATAATAGAAATACAATTTATTTATATAATTACAACTTAACTAAAATTCCATTTGTATTGTTTAACTAATTGCAATTTCTTTTAGTTCTATTAGACCACAAGGTTATTGGCAGTCATATTCCTTTAATTTTGTCATATTATATATGTATCATTAACTTTCATTTACTTGTCACAATTAGTCATCTATTTAATTTTCGCAGTTAATAAAGATGACTAACATGTAATTAGTTTGAGAAATTAGATGTTGCGACAAAATGCTTGAATAATAAAATTACATGTTAGTTATTTTTAGGAAAAAATGCATTTTTGGTCCCTGAGTTATATCAAAGTTCTGACTCAGTCCCTGAGTTATGACCGTATCCATTTTTAGTCCCTCAGTTATGAACAAAGTGGCACATTTGGTCCCTGACCGTTAAAACTAACAAAAAAATTTAATAATATTTAAAATTTGAGGGGTAAAGTAGGAAATTCACATTTTATTATCCTTCTTACATCAAAACCACTTTCACAACATTATTTTTCACTTCTTAGCCTCTTATTTCAAGATTGTTCAATTCTATAAGCATTTCAATAACTTTAGTATGACTTGTTAGGAACCTGACTCTCGTATAACAAACTTACGACTTAGCACAAATAAAGAAACACTTTATCATTGTCTTCAGACGTGTGAAACACACTATCCTATCAATTTTCAATTTTCTTTACTAAGCAACAAAGGTAATCAAACCAAAACTTTTGAAATACAAAATGATGTCAAATTTCTCAGGTTGCTTTTATGAGAAATTCACCAACGGAATAACTTGAGATTTTTAGTATGTACAAATTTTTCATATGCAACCGTCAATATAATAATCGTTTTTAGAAGTTACAAATTTTTTTAGAATTTTCATAACTGAGTCTTGGGTTCCTCATTCGTTACTCTAGTTTTTAAGAAGACAGAGTAGGTGATGGGTATTGGGTATATATATATAATATAATTTTCATATATTGTCAGGATATACGATTCTTGATTAAGTTATTGCAGAGCTTACGAAGGAATTTTACGTACTAAAAATCTCAAGTTACTCCCTTGGTGAATTTGTCATAAAAATAACTGAGAAATTTGATATCTTATTGTATTTCAGAAGTTATGGTTTGATTACCATTATGTTTAGTAAGGGAAATCGAAAACTTTTAGGATGGTGTGTTTTACATGCTTGAAGACAATGATCAAAGTATTCTCTTGTTTGTACTAAGTCACAGGTTCCTTATACGAGACTCAGGTTACTAATAAGTAACAAGTCATACAAAGATTATTGAATTGCTGTTGGAATTGAATAACCTTGAAATAGAATGCTAGGAAGTTGAAAATAATGATGCAAAAGTGGTTTCAATATAAAAAAGTGAATAAAATGTGAATTTCCTACTTTACCCCTAAAATTTTAAATATTTTTAAATTTTTCCGTCAGTTTTAACGGTCAGGGTCCAAATGCGCCACTTCGCTCATGACTCAGGGACTAAAAATTGATACGGTCATAACTCAGGGACTGAGTCGTCACTATCATTATAACTCAGGGACCAAACTCGCAATTTTCCCTTATTTTTATATTAAATGATAAATAACAAATTGAAGATAATCCTAGTCAAATTAATCAGACTATTAATTTAGTAAACACAAAATTTTAAATTTGATTCTCAGTACAAATAATGATATCTCAATACCATTAATAAATTATGGTTGGATGACTTATGATTATTATTTAATTCCTCAAAGGTTTTGTAGTTGATAATTGGTAAAGGCCATTGTATATATTATATATTTTTAATTATGACGATATGGGTCATTATCAACTTGCCTGACATAAAAAATTGTATTCTTGTCAAACAAGGAAAACGAAAATAACATACCCTGACTATAAGCACAGCACACATATTGATAAAAAGAATGGTGATCAATAATATAATGCTATCATGGAAACTCCGCTTAAAGTAACATAATACAATGTTATTATTATTCTTTCTATACTTTTTCAAACATTTTCAACCCAAAAAATTTAAGTTCCCAACACTGAAGCTCAAACTTATGACCACTCATTTGGAATGATATCCGGGTTCGAACGTATGACGCTCAATGGTTCCATCTGCTTTTCGTTTGATGTGAAAAATCCATTTGCACCCCATGATATTCATACCAGGGTGAGAAGGAACTAAACGCCACGTCTAATTCTGTAGCAACGCATTGAACTCCAAGTTCATCGCCTCTTGCCACTCGATCAAGAAATCGAACAACCTGAGAATAGTACGTCGGATCAGAAGATTGCGATGTGACAACAAGAGCAGCTGGCACAGAAGGAGACACACCCGATCGTGTCATATGTCTCAAAACCATCGGGTGTGTGCGAGCAGCAGGCTGACGTTGCACCACAGTCCGACGAGTAGACCACCGAGGAGCCACAGGAGCATGAACAACTATAGATGGGTAGGATGCTGAAGTAGTCAAAGGCGGTGGGCACATAGTAGCAACGACAAAAGGGCTTGGGGCCGACTGTTGAGGCAACGACATAGGCACATAAACTTGTCTAGTAAAAGAAAAAACAGACTCGTCAAAACGCACATGCCTACAAACAAAAACCCGGCTAGTGATGAAGTCCATGCACATATACCCCCGAAATGACGCTATATAGCCCAAGAAGACACAGGGAGCAGACTGGAAATCCATTTTGTGACTATTGTAAGGACGCAAAAACGGAAAATATAGACACCCAAAGACACGAAGAAACGAGAAAGACGGAGAAAAACGATGCAATAGTTGATGAGGGCTAGAGTTAGACAAAGTAGAAGTAGGCATTTTATTAATCAAATAAACAGCTGTCTCAAAAGCATACTCCCAAAAACGAGCAGGAATCGAAACATGTGTCATAAGAGTCAATCCGGTCGCAACAATGTGCCAGCGACCACCACCTCGACCTCGCGACTGCTACTCCAAAGATGATCCAGAACGCTGCGCTTGCTGGCGGCCGGTTGCTGCTACTGATCACGCGACAATCCAGACTCCAAAAAATCATCAGCGTGAATGAACTCTTGGGCAGCGAGGAAATCCGATAACTCCGTCAGAGTCACTAGCTAGCCGTGAGTAGCTAGAGAAGATGTCATGGTTTGAAACTCTTACCGAAGTCCGCGAAAGACGTAAAGGTTTTGTTCGTCAAGAGAGACTAGACGCCTGGAAAGCGAGAGCTCTTCTACCAACACCTGCGCTAGACCGAGAAACTTTGTTACAATCAAATTACCTTGACGAAGAAACTGCAACTGACCAAGCAAGTGCAGTGCTCGAGCCCGCGTTGAAGATCTTAAGGACTACTGAATTGATTCCCAAATTTGCCTTTTGACGTCGTACGACCAACTGCTAAGTGCATAACCTCTTTGGACAGGGAGGAAATCAGTATAGACATGATTGATTGATTTTGCTAGACCCAGGTGGGATAGACTGGATTTAAAATTGGAGGAGCATAAACATCACCAGAAGCCGGAGGCACCATAATCGGCAGACACGAGAAGGTACTGTTAACATACCCGAGCAAGTTTTGACCACAAAGAAACGGGACCAATTGGGTACGCCAGAAAAGATAATTACGGGTTGTCAAGTTTATAAAAACAAAGTGATGCGCCGACGACAACGAAACGGGCGCAATATGCAATAGTAAAGCAAAAATAGCTTCAGAAATAGTCCGCTTAGAGCTGGCAGAACTGTCACTTGCGGTCGCAATTAGGGAACCTGAACCTAAATGACTGATACCATATGAGAACACGATTCTTGTATAATATTCCAGAATACAATAAGGAACAGGAAATATATATATATATATATATATATATATATATATATATATATATATATATATATATATATATATATATATATGACCATATGAGAACACTTGCTTAGGTGAGAACGTGAGAACAAATCATGTGCATCCAAAGGTATGCACATAAGGCAACAAAGTTATGCACCTAATGATTAACATATATGCACTTGTAGGCTAAACTCTATGCACCTTACAGTGTAAACTTATGCACCTTACAACTTATGCACTTACAGTATGCACCCACTTACAGTATGCACCCAAATAAGGAACAATATGCACTCAAAGAATGAACAATATGCACCCAAACGAAGGAAAATAATACAGTCAAAGAAAAAAAAATTCACTAGAAGTTAAATCATGCACTCGGAGAATGAACAATATGCACCAAAAGAAAGAACAATATGCATCCAAAGAAGGAACAATATGCACCCAACGAAGGAAAATAATATACCCAAAGAAAAAAAAAAGTAAACATTCACTAGAAGATAAACCATGCACTCGAAGAAGGAACAATATGCATCCAAAGAAGGAAAATAATGCACCCAAAGAAAAAAGTAAATATTCACTAGAAAATAAACCATGCACTCAATGAAGGGGAACAATAATATGCACCCAAAGAAAGAAATTAATGCACCCAAAGGAAAAAGTAAATATTCACTAGAAAAGATAAATCATGCACTCGAAGAAGGAACAATATGCACCCAAAGATAAATCATCAACTTACGCACCTTAAGCACACAAACCACGCACCTTAAGAAGGAAAGCCGCACACCTAAAGTTTTAGATCGAGACACTTAAGTTTTCAACACCTGATGCACCTTAAGCCACACAGTACAAAAACCACGCACCTTAAATTTGACCTAGATGCAAAAAGACCAAATTGCCACCGCATATTTTTTTAATCATTGTTAATCTTGGGCGTTGATTTATGCAATATTATTGGCTCATATTTAACCGCACAATCGCACCTGGTCGCACCAACCACATGCAAAATAATGTACTTTCCCTAAATACAATGTACAACATTTTTAATATACTAAAAGTATATTATTTGTGTACTGAATATGCATTATTTAATAGAATGTTCCACGCAATTGTATGGACCATGATTGGGGAGCGAAAACTAGAGGCCCTTTGCTAACACTTATGTATGTAGTATGTTGGTGTTTTGTTCTTTCCTTACATGGTATGCAAAATAATAAATAAATAATCATACAACATATTGTACTAAAAATTTAGAGTGTTTGGTCTAAATATTGAAATCAGAATCATAATCAATATACTGTAAATAAATTGAAAGACATATAATATGTTAATTACAAGTACATAATAATGATAATATGTAATTTACATATTATGTGTTTGTAGTTAACAAATTATGTATTTTTAATTTATTTACAAGTATATAATTTATCAATTTAAACACATAATATATTAATGGTAATACATAATTTTTGGATCAAAATTCACAATATAAAGTTAACCATTGAAACTTGACAAGTTATAGTCTTTCTTTAGTTGTAAACGTGGCGTCCAAGCTGTTCTTATCTTGCTTGCCTATGTTTCTTTAATTCTAGGGATTCTTGATTCCAATGACTGATGTTCTTCCAACCAAAAGCAACTCTTCAAATAATAATAATAATAATAATAATAATAATAATAGTAATAATAATAATAATAATAATAATAATAATAATAATAATAATAATAATAATAATAATAATAATAATAATAATAATAATAATAATAATAATAATTATTATAATATAGGTTTTGTGTCTCATCGATCAATTGTATTTATAATAAAACACGATTTTGTATATTCATATATTTTAATTGTTTGAGAAAAATTTTAGTTTGTAAGAGGGTTTTCAGTCATCCTATTTCCTAATTCCTATCAATGTTCAACCATTTGCTAGCCAATGAATTCTTTTTCAACCTATTATTCCCCACTATTCTTTTCACTCTCCCCCTCCTAAAAAATCGACTGCCTTTATGCTTTCTGCCCAAAGTAAAATATGTGACCATTAAACGTATATGTTGTATTTATAATAAATGAGAACTTTATTTTATTTTAAAACACTCATGATTCTTTAAAATACTATATTTGTTTTATACTTTCTCAATCTTTTTTCAGCCCAAAAAACGGAGTTTAATCCTGTGTGACATGTGACCACCCATTTGAAATAGTAACAGAGGTGCTATCACACTACATAGTAGTTGGCAAATGAAAATTTTAAATATTAGATTGATGAATTATGGTTTACTGTCTATCAATTTTTTTTTTCTTAAAAATCTTAATTGAAGATCTATTTTTCAATTAATTTTATAAGAAGACCGTTAAATTATATTATTACAAACGTTATTACTCAAAAAAAAATATTACAAATGTTTGAGACGCTGAAGTAAGTATAGTGCTCCAATTGCTTTTAAGTAGGATATGATAACGCCGAAAAGTAAGCATAGTGCAACACTGAGATCCATCATATTATTAGTTCAAAAAGAGCTTGAAGGGTCATTTCATGGCTGGGTGAAACTCTTAATTATTATTATTATCCCTCACAAATTTAGTACCCCGTAATAATTTAAACCGCTTAAAACAAACGTTAATAGTTTAATCACTTAGCATATGATGAGCCTCGAACTTTATATCAAAAAATTGTAAATTGTAATACTCCCAACCCTCTTCAGTCTCCACAAAGCCTCATTGCTTCACTCCACTAATTATTTCCCTTTCAAATCAATTTATTCAAATTCTATAACCCTTGCACCAACACAAGGTTTTGGTATCCAAGTCATACTGGAAATGGAAAGTAGAAAATTTGATATTTTCTATAAAAAAGATGGAGAAAAAGGAAAGAGATAGAAAGCAAGCAAAAACCTTACTCAAACTAACAGGCTAAATGTGCGCACAAAGGATCTACTCACTTTAGGCATAATCCCGAAATTCGAACCTTAGTCTCTTCTCCCAAATACTGCTTACTGAACTATTGAGCTAAGTCTGAACGGGTAGAAATCAAGCAAAAACCTAACAAAAAGTCAGGATGCTTATTTATTTATTATTACTCATTGGATACAAAAAGAGTTGTTCTGTTTACTTGGTAGGGGTAGGCAGCCACATATTACATATAGAAGATTGTTGGCTTGTAGCAGAAACTATTATAAAGTGTGTTGTGTTTAATTAATACTAGAACTGGAATTCTATAAGGTTGGAGGGATCCAAATGTAGCCATGGGTCTGAACATAGCCCGCCTTTCGCAACAACTCATCTGCTTCTACAGGCCCTCGGCTGCCTGGCTTGTAAGGGATCGGCTTCAACTCTCCATCGTCTATCCTGTGCAGGAGCGGGGTGAAGATTTCCCAAGCCACCTAAACAATCACACCATAACCAATCATCAATCACGCCATATTGTCATGTGCTCGTTATATTTATTTATTCAAATATGGTCCGCTATGAATATTATACCTTCAACTCATCCCTGCGAACAAAGTGCTGCTGATCCCCTCGTATTCTGCAACATAAAATCTCAAATTTGTAAGTCTCGTTTGTTTGTGTATATGGCAAAAACATGTTAAGGCAAAGCTGATAAGAGATGAGAATGCAAAAGGGCATAGTATAGAATCGTACGTGTCAAGAATTAGACGCTCATATGCCTCTGGAATGGTAACCCCTTGATATCGTTGCCTATATGACAAGTCTAGTTCGCTCTGGGCAGTCGACATTTCTAGCCCAGGTTGCTTGACCTGCACAAAAGATTAATCGCGTCAAAAACTGAGTAAAATAAATCAACAATCCCAGTCTTATAACTTGGGCCTCAGCTTCATTTGATAGTGCACAAGACAACTAGTTGATCAACATCCGCAAAAAAAAAAACTTAAAATAATAATGGTAGCTTACCATGAGTTTCATATACATCGCTTCTGATGGTTGGAGGCGTATGACAAATTCATTCCTCCCACGCTTTTGACCTGATGAAATGTTTCACAACTGAATTACGGCTCTGATACCATGTTATAATCGAAGCTATAATGCACATGGGCCAATTGGCCAAACCACACTAAAAGATTGAATCCAATCAATTAGTTAACCTAACTCGTGACCTTATAAACTCATATGTTCTTTCTTATATTTTCAATGTGGGACTCTTAACAATTTTTATAGGTTTAAACTATAGAGGCCTTGGCATGTATTAGTCAAACATAAATATGCTCTTATCAATCTCTCTTTTGCGTTTCAATAAAGCTGGTGGTCATGCTAACCACCCTATTCAAGGTGGATTTATACTAAAAGATGGAAAGACAAAGGGGCCTAGAGACAAAACCTATAAAACGAAACAAATAAAGGCAGGAAATTGATATTAATTTGCAGGAATTCTGATATACATACATTTGAATATATCACCGGGGACATCCTTAAATTGGACCCGAATTTCTGCTTTTCTTGAACTAAGTGCTTTTCCTGCCTTAAGTATAAAGGGCACACCTGCAACAAGTCATTTGTAGAAATATTAATAACAAAAAATTGGCACAGCTATTTTCTCAACACTTCGATAGAACCAACAATCGAAATGTCTCATCAAATTCTAAATTTCATCCACATATTAAAAATATGAAACTCCAAACGGGAAAATATAATAAAAATAATGATACCGAGATGGAAAAAAACTCAAAAAGGTGTCTTACCTTCCCATCGTTCATTGTGTATGCGCAGAACCATGGTCGCAAAAGTTGGAGTGTTTGAGTTGTCGGGAACAGTGGGATCATCCCTATAGCCTTCATATTGTCCAAGAATAACCTCTTCATCTTTAATGGGAACCACCGATTGAAGAACCTTAAGTTCAAATCAAATCAAAGATAAATAATAGCTCTTGTTATAAGCAATTATCAGCACAGAAGAAAATATAACAATACATCTAGAAAATGCTTAGATACGAACCTTCACTTTCTCATCTCGTATGTGCTCAGGTTTAAGAGAAATAGGCTTCTCCATAGCAACAAGGCAAAAGACCTGCATTGTCAAATGACAGACTTTTAGAAGAGCATAGCTATAGAAATCAATGCAATTTCATAATATTAGTAATTGATTCAAAAGGTCAAGAGAGACTGCAATGCATTACCTGCAAGAGATGGTTCTGAATAATGTCACGTATAATCCTGCCAAAAATCAAAAATTAAAAAGCAGTTTCAAGTAACCATTACTGCATAAAGTTTTGCAAAGATTAAAAAAAATATGCTTTTCAACAGTAACGTTTAGATTAAATTGTAGGACAACTTTAGAACTCCATATGTTCCTCCAAATTTCTGGTTTTATGGCAAGTAGTTTTAGAGCCATACTATTTAGAAGCATGAGATTATTAAGAACTACAATTTGGGACTTGGGAGAACATCAGAGTTTAAGAATTATATAATAAAAATGGGGGTGAGAGAATGTTGTCCATAAGCATACCCATATTCATCAAAATATCCACCACGGCCATCAGTTCCAAAATCCTCTCTGAATACAATCTGCAAGGAAGAAATTAAAAATAAGAAAAGGACTAAATGACAATGCAAGGGGTATGATGATCTCCCCAGCTTGGTTCTTTGTTTGTTTGTCTGTTTTAGTTTTTGTTGGTTTTTATATTTATTTTATTTATTTTTTTGCAGGGTAACTGATTATATGTGTTTGCGTGTGTACACACACACACACGGTTATTTTCCCAAAGGAGTGCAATTATGATATATTTGATAAGTATAATAAAAATAGAGGTAGAAAGAATGAGGGGACCAACCTGTACATTAGCAATGTTGTCACGATTCCAAAGTGGCAAAAAGAAACGATTCGCAAAGCGAAGCACCAACTGTTTTTGCAAAAAGTGAGAGTATAAACAAGAAAAACATTTGATTAACTAAAGTTGGAAAAGATACAAACATCTGGATACATACCAAGTTCTGAACCAACTCCTTCCCCAAGTAATGGTCAATACGATAAATTTGTGGTTCATCAAATAATTCTCCTATTTGGGCACTAAGTTCCTCAGATGAAGCCAAATCCTTGCCAAAGGGCTTCTCAACAACAATGCGTGTCCATCCACCCAAATCAGCTGTAAACAGAACACTAGGAATCTGTAAAGTTATGTTGTAGAAGAGTCTGCTGACTAAAGAAAACCACCTTGTACTTAAAATAGGTTTCGTGTTACATTATTGCACTTGAAACCAGTAATATAACACGCAGTAATTATATATATATATATATATATATATATATATATATATATATATATATATATATATATATATAAAGTATGAAAAGATAAGCATACATTTATTCATGCAATAAGATTTTATCATTCTGCAAACAGGTGGGTATACTGAAGGAGGAAGTGCAAGGTAGAAGAGTCTTCTAGCAGATCCCTCTGTGCTGTTTCTTGATATTTCGTGCTCATAAATTGCCTTATCTAATGTCTGGAAACCCTCCTCAGAGTCATAACCACCACTTATATATTCAATCTGCAGGAATAGTAACATGGACATCATAGGTTAGAAAATACAACATAATTGAGAATTTAAACCGTTCATTTCTATTGTACTAACCAATTGCAGAAAATCCGAAACTTCTTCAGCATTCTCTTTCCCTTGAGAAAGATACCTGTGATAATTTGGCGAAAGGTCATCGGAGCAATAGATTCATGTATCTCGAGGGTAAAAGCAAATACGAATGGGACATGAAAATAAATTTTAATAACATGATTGGGGCATGGCAGTGAAGAAATTTAAGGAATTGGGAGAATGACACAAGAAAATACAAATAAGAATCAGCATAATAATGCAACAATAGAAAAAGTCACACAAATCTATAAAGAGAAAAGTCATGAAGTGAAATACATGGAAATAGATAGTATATGATAGGAGAAATAACCAGAACCAGAGAGTGGAAAGAAGGACAGCAAACAGAAATCTCACCCATGGATCCTTTCTTTCAAGTCATTATTTGAAATTTTGGACCTTGCATACCCAAAAATGTGAACTTCATTAGATTGCAAGAACCCCTGCAATTGCCCCATTGAATTCTGAAGTTAGCAATCAGGGATTGTGAATGGGACCAAAGTACACAATCTCAAGATATAAGTGAAAAGAAAATTACTAATAAAGATCTATAAACTTCACCTGGCGATAGAGGTTGAAAAGTGCTGGGAAAGTCTTCTTCTTAGCAAGATCACCAGAAGCACCAAGAACAATGATGGAGAGACACCCAGTTTCTGGGACATTGTCATTGTCCCTAAAAGATTCATTCCTAAACGAACCCCTTTTCTCTACGCACCATTGACCAGATTCCATCTCCAAAGCTTCTATTAATCACTCCTCCACTGTATGATCGCTTATTATCTTCTGATCTACACACAACAGAAACACAGTTAGTCCCAACTACTAGCTATCAGATCCAGAAAAGCAGTTTCAGACAAAATTAAACAAGATTAAGATATATGACCGGAAAATTGGAAGCAAGAATTTTAGGAAAATTTTGGGAAGATAAAGAACAGCCCACCTAATGCAAGAAGACGTTAAGCAGAAATACAAGAACCGGCCAACTACTAACAAAGATTTAGGTAGTGAAAGAGACAAGGCTTACAGTTTCAGGAGACAACTTGAGAGGGACTACAAACATGCATTCATACGGGACGGGAGGGGAAGTTGAAAAGTAAAAATCTTTATAATGATGCGATCCCGAGGGACGAACGAAATTCAGTACGACTCGTGGGGCATTTTTTGGGATTTAAATATTTGAAAATCATGAGTCATGAGTCATGGCCCTCTCACCAACCCCAGAGAGGACCTCAATTTTGACTATGATTTTGACATTAGCCGCCGTATTCGACTTCGCATGAATACAGTGGTTGCCGGGATGTGAAATTATGATCCCACAGTCATTGGGGTTCTGGTAGGTGCTTCGAATTCAAGTATTTCGTTCCCAATATTTCACATACCATTACCAACAAACAAAACCGACCAACGACCTAATAAGAGTAATTGAATGATAGAATTATATTTAGTCATATTTATTAAATTATGAAATAATAATATATTTTTAAAGGAGAAATAATTGTCGCTTCTCTGGTTTTCGCTTTAATTTCCACACAGTCGCTGTTTCTGTGAAGCAGGTAGAGGCGGCATCTGATCGTCTTCCCCTGCTGTTATTTCTGCCACAGACAACGATCGCCTTCATTATCTTCTCTGCTTTCACCGTCTTCTCTTCCATTCTCTGCCTTTGCCACCGGTTACGTCTGGCCCCATCCCTCCATCTCCACCGCTACCGGTCGTTACTCCCTTATTTTTGCATTGTTGTTTCCGTTTGCTTTGTTTTGACGAATTCTAACGATAAAACTGGTCATGGCATATGTGAATCTCGTCCTAGGTGACAAACATGACAATGAAAAAGAGACTCCTCTGGACTATGATATGCAGTTCAATCCGATGGAGATATTGTCAATGGATAGAAGAATGGAAGTAGATACTCCGGTAGTGTGCAAGACCATTCAACCAGAGTCAGTCTTGGGTATGTTTGACCAAATCATTAAAGAAGTTTTAAGTTCCTCCAAAGAGTTCAGCTTCAAATTTGTGAAACAGTCTACGAATCAAGTTTTCTGTTGCATTGCTAGAGAAGTTGTTTCTATATCTGACTGTAAGGAATGTTTGACCATTCCATCAATCTTTATTGTAAATGTTTCAGCCTATGATTAATGAATTAGCTTATTTACTTTCAAAAAAAAAAAAAAAAGATGAATAATTGTGACAAGCAAATGAAAATGAATGTGGCAAAATTAAGAATCTGTTTGGAAACCTTGAAAATATTTTTCGGAAAATAAGTTATGTTTTGAAAAATATTTTAATTTTCTAGTGATTAGCTGAATGTCAGAAAATTATACTTTTATGTTTGGCTGAAAGTTAAGAAATTACATTTTTTATATTTAGTTTATTTCCCTGAAAAATGGGTATATAATAATAATAATAATAATAATAATAATAATAATAATAATAATAATAATAATGTAATAGAGTCAGTAGCTTTCAAATAATAATAATAATGTGGTAATGGTGGTGGTGTGGTGGTAGTGGTGGTAATGTGATAGTAGTGATAGTGGTGATGGTAGTGGTGTGGTGGTGGTGTGGTGGTAGTGGTTGTGATGTAGCAGTAGTGATAGTGGTGATGGTAGTGGTGTGGTGGTGGTGGTAGTGTTGTTGTGGTGGGTGGAGATGGTAGTTGTTGTGGTGGTGGATGATGATGATGGTGGTGGTGATGATGGTGTTGGTGGTAGTGGTGGTGGTGTTGGTGGCGGTAATGGTTGTGGTAGGGGTGTGGTAGTGGTAGTGGTAGTGGTGTTATGATGGTGGTGATGTTGTGGTTGTGTTATGATGTGGTGGTGGTAATAATAATAATTCGAAAACTAACATTTTAAAAGAAGAGAGTGAAGAGAGATAAAAAATAAAGAATTCCAAAAATGTCTTCTAACTAAAAAATTAGAAAGAATTTTCCACCAAATTGGACTTTCTTCCTTTGACCAAAATGAATATTTTTCTTTGACTACATTTTCATTGAGTACCCAAACACTGGAAAATTTGGATGGAAGTCATTTTCTGAGTTTTCAAACGGACCTTAAAAGAGCATGACTAAGGATGTGTTTGAAAACTCGAAAAATGATTTCTTTCCCGTTTTTAATAAAGAGTATAAAATGTGAGTCAAACGAAAATGAGTGTTTGGTCAAGAGAAAATACCATCATTTTCTTGAAAAATGACTTTTGCTCTTTTTTTGGGAAAGTCATTTTCTAATTTCCACACACTACCACCACCGCCACACCACCACCACCACCACCACATCACCACACAATCACCTCACTACCATCACCTCCATCGCCACCATTAGGGATGAAAATTTTCTCCGTCCCCGACAGGGATCCCCGATCTCCGCCTCGACGGGGACGGGGATAGGAAAAATTTTCGGGGAACGGGAACGGGGACGAGGACGGCGATACCCCTCCCCACCCCGCCCCATCCCCGAATAATTATTATAAATATATATAGCGAAAATCAATGATTTGGTCCCTCAATTATTAGCAAAATTTCAATGTAGTCCCTTAATCGCTTATTCATCGATTTGGTCCCTAAAAATAACTGTTTTTAGTTGATTTAGTCCCTCCGGTCGTAGTCCGTCAATAACCCGGCGAGAGCTCCGATTTGCCATGTGCAATTTGGTCTTTTCACGCCATCTTCTTCATCCTCTCTGACCAAGCTTCGCCGAAAAACGCTCGTCGTCAGGAAAATGGAGCCGAGTCCATCTATTACGAAATCTGTCGCTGAGCCTGTCGGATCTACTCGAGCTCGCCTGAGGGATCTCCATCTCGTCTGCTCGTTAGAATGAGCTCATCGCCGAAAAAATAGTGTTTTTGAGCTCGTCGGATCTGCTGGGTTCAGTAGCCTGTGCATATTGGCCATCATCAACAAGTTTTCTAACGTCAGCCAGTGCTTTTGGAGCATCTAGATCAGTATAATCCCCAGGAATTCCAGTCCACAAAGTGTCCTATGTACAAAGCAGACAAAACCTAATTAGATTACATGTGATCTTCCCCTTCTTAAAACTTGCTGCTACGATTTTGTTCCTCACTGATCATAAAAGGCATAGAGCTTACTACACAATAGAAAAAGACGACAAACGAAGCGCAAATAAACTTTCGGCAAAATATGATTACCGTTGAGATTGAGAGTCTCAGATGCAACACCGCCCCAAACCATGGCACCGAGACGATCGTTTCCAATAGGCAGAGCATCGGAAGCCGGCGATCCCACCACCGGCTCCATATATGCCCAGGAGCTCCCTGATAACGCAACTACCTCCGACAATTCTGGAAGCCGGCGATCATCAAATTGGTTGGTGAATTGTGATCGTAACATATCCCACAAATTATCCCCCTCCTTCGATTGCCCATGCAACACCTCCACTACCGGAGAATCCTCCATAGACGAAGCGTGACTCGGACCACCCGACTTCGCAACCAGCAACCGGTCTTCAATTCGACCATGGCGATCACTCCGCTGAGGCTCTAAGACAACTCCAGGGGGTCGAGAGGGGCCACCGTCGGCGTCGCCATAGATGAATCTGGACTGCGATCACGAAAGTGCTCCAAAGCCGTTCGATCGCTGCGATGTTGATGGCGATGACTTGGGGGAGGCCGGCCGAAGGCTCCAAGGCCCATGATAACACTCGGCTGCCATATTTTTTAGGTGAGATGGCGTGAAAAGACTAAATTGCCCATGGAAAATCGAAGCTCTCGCCGGGTTATTGACGGACTACAGCTGGAGGGACTAAATCGACTATATATATATATATATATATATATATATATATATATATATATATATATATATATATATATAAACTTTTTAAATTAAAACTTGGATTTTTAGTTTTTAAAATTAAAAATTACACTAATGTAAGATTTTGACTAAGTATTGATTGGGGACGGGGAATCCTAATTCCCCGCGGAGATGGAGATGGCGATGGGGACGGGAACAGGAAGTATACTCCCCGCTCCGTTGCCATCCCTAGCCACCATACCGTGACACCACCACCACCATTTATATTATTATTATTATTATTATTATTATTATTATTATTATTATTATAAATGTTGTTATATCCTAAACAAAAATAATTAAAATGTTTAATTATACAATTCTGCTCATTTTCCAAATACCAAACACACCAAGACAATTTTTTAGAATATAACCAAACACTGAAAATGTAAATATTTTCTAGAAAATGAGCCATTTTGAGAAGTCATTTTCCTGATTTCCAAAGATATCCTTTCCTCCATTCAATATTATGCAATTCACTTTTTAAAACAAAAATATATTTACTCATTTAAAAAAAAAATACCGTGTTAATCAAAATTGTGTTGGTCTTGTTTAGTATTTGCTTAATGTTAAGAGTATGATATGTTAGGAGGTCAGTAAATTGATTAGCTCATGTGCTTTTAAGACAATAATATGCCATGGATCATGGTTCACCTTGTAAGGTGAACTATTAACGCAAAATTCATTTTTTATTTTTTTAGAATAAAGAAGCTAATTCATTAATCATAAGCTGAAACGTTTACAATAAAGATCGATAGAAATTAGAAAGATAAAACATTCATTACAGTCAGACATAGAAACAACTTTCCTAGCAATGCTACAAGAAACTTGAATTGCGGACTGTTTTACAAGATTGAAGCTGAATTCATTGGAGGAACTTGAAGCTTCTTTGATGTTGTTAATGATCTGGCTACCCAAGACTAACTCTGTTTGAGAAGTCTTCTATACCACATGAGTATCTATTGCAGCTCTTTTGTCTATAAACAATATCTCCATTAATCTGAACTGCATATCATAATTCAGATCTTCTTCGTTGCTCAAGATGAGATAAACATACGCCATAACCAATTAAGTCGTTTCACCTTAATGAAAAGAGAGCTCGCCAAATAAACGAGAGGAAAAAACTCGTCAAAATAACAGATGAAAAAACACAGATCTGCAAAAAAAAAAAACTAAAACCAGTGAAAAAAAACATATAAAAGCAGTGCGAAAAGGAGTGGAGATTGAGGGAGAGGGATAATGGCGAATAGTGGCTGTGGAGATGGAGGTAGACGTATGAGGGAAGGGGGGAAGTTAAAACCGGTGGCTAAGGCGGAGGAGATGGTGGAAATCGAATGGAGGAGACGGTAGAAATCGAACAAAGAAGCAAGGAGATGGCAGCAAGGGAAAGCAAGGTTGGGAGGTGGTGACAAGGGACGCCGCCTCCGTTCGTTTAGCGAAGGCGGCGGCCGTGAGGAGGAACGAGCGGTTGCGCCTGAAGATGGAAACCCTAGGGTAGAGAGAGAGAGAATTGTACCATAAGATTCATTTTTAGTATACTGAATGTTTATTTTTAATACAATGAATCTTTATTTTTTGAAGGTTCATTTTAATACAGTGAATCTTTGTTGTTGTTGTTATTTTGAATTACAAGACTTTGATTAGTTATTTTGATATCTTATTAGTTATTTTTTATTATATTTAAAATTGTTATTATATTATTATACATGTTATATTCTAAATAAAATAATTAAAATGTTTAATTATACAATTATACTCATTTTTCATAAAAGTAACCAAACACACCAAGACAGTTTTTCAGAATGCAACCAAACACCGAAAAAGAAAATATTTATTTGAAAATGACTCATTTTCCAACAAATATTTTTCAAAACTCATTTTCCTACTTTCCAAACGGACCCTTGAAAGTAAACTTTAATTATATTAAAAATAAATCTTCAATACAATAATAATGAACATTTATTCCTCCTGGCCCACAATATAATTTGCCATTTCAAGAGCTTTGGGTTCCCAACCTACCTTTTAATTTCTTCATGGACTGGCAATCTGCCTAGTTGTATTTTCAATTTGATTTATGAGGTTTAATAAAACTTGATTACTTTTCTTTAAAATATATTTTGTTAACATTTAAAAGATGATTAATTTTAGGATTAATTATTGTACATACATTATAGTTGTAAATCACAGCGTCCGATGAGCATGAGGAATGTGTCTACTTTAGACATAATTCCCACACTGTTGCTGCCGAGATTTGAACCTTAGTCTCTTCTCCCAAATACTGCCCACTGAACCATTGAGCTAAGCCCGTGCGGGCATGTTGAGCGAAATCTAGTGGACTATTAGGGGTGTGCATTCAGTTAACCGAACCATTTTAAACGAATTTTTTAAAGGTTTAACCGTTAACTAAACGAAACTTTGTATTACTGAATTAACTGAACCAAAGTTTTTTCTTTTTTCTTTTCCCAATTAACTGACATTTTTTAACTAAATTTTTAAATCCTTAAAATAATATCTATAATAATAAATCCAACTACTTCAATACCTATAATAATAAATCCATAACTTCAATCCAAAATCCAAAGTCCAAACATCCATAGTCTATAGGGATTTCATTTTAATTTTAAGAATTTTACATTATATATGTATTTATTTATTTATATATTGAAAATTTCGGTTAATCGTTCGGTTAACCAATAGTTTCGAACCAAATTAATCATTTACCAAAATTTTACAAAATCTCTAACCATTAACTGAACCCAAGTATTTCAGTTAAAAAACAGTTAACCAAAATTCTTTGATTCGATCGGTTAATTGAACTTTTACCGAAGTTTGCACACACCTATGGAGTATGTTATAATCCCAGACAATATTTCTTACAATCAACAACATAAATAGCACGAAGGCGATCTTAATTAATAGATGAAATGAAAAAAAAAAAAAAGACAGAGGGCTTGTATCCCTTCTTGTGTTGCATCAAATACAATTTGGTATAACTACACGAGATTGAAATCCCACGAAACAACAACAACAAAAAAAAAAAAAAAAAATGGTCATTATTGCTCTTGATTAATATACAAGCAGATTTCAAGAATATAACGACTCAATACCTAGTCATTCCTTTTTGTATATGTAATATATATATACTATACAATCAAGTGATGGTAAAAACAAAGAATTATACACATTGGGTGCTGAGCAGACCCTAACTGTAGGAGGCACTTTTAAGCCCGTTCCATTCTCAGACTAAGAATTATACACTTTGTAATACATTAAGTTCCCAGTTTCTCAGTGGGTGTGTTTTTTTGCCCAGAAGTGCTTCCAAGGATTTAGCTTTCTTGTTCCTAACTCTTCCTGCTTCTTTCAACAGCTCTTCCAGCCTTCTCTTCTCGTCATCTACGTCTGGGTTTGCGGTTCCCAGTTTATCCTCCCTCATTCCAACCACGAATTCCAAGATTTCGATCGCATCAGCAGTCCTAACCGAGATCAATTCAAGAAACAAAATGACCCGTAAAGTTGATTTAAAAGATAAGAGCTTTAAAAGGTTGATCATAAAGTACTATACCTTCCCATGGCATCATAAGTGCCAGCAAGGTTGCTATAGACTCCCAGTGTGTCAGCGTGGTATGGACCATATTCGGTTTCCAAGATGCTTCTTGCTTCTTCGAACAAGTCTGCAGCTTCGTTTATAGCGTAGAGTTGAACACAGGTGAGCCCCATTTGGTTAAGGGCAATGCCAAGAAGAGCGGATTTCTTCTCCCCGATTGCCCGGAACTTGTCAATGGCGGTTTTAAGGGAGGTGTAAGAGTCTGAGTAGTCCCCTAAGATGTAGTAAAGAACCCCGATTTGGGCTTCGATTCCTGCAATGGTGCTCTGTTGGCCCGGTGCGTCTCCATAGGCTTTGATGGCCTTGTGGAGTAAGTTGAGTGCTTGTTCGGGCTCGTCCATTGATTCGTATATTGCAGAGACATCAACGAGGCCGCTGGCAATCTCTTCGGGTTGGGTTTTGGGGAGCGTTGCTGGGGCTGGGGCTGGCTTAGCATAAACACGGAGAGCGTTTTCGCAGTATGATTTCGAGTCCTTGAATTTTCCTATCCTGTAATACAAATCAGCCAAGCGGACGAAGACTGATGCAACTGATGGGTGGCTCTCTCCTTTTATGGTCTTAAACGTGGTGAGAGCTTTTTGGTAAGAACAAATAGCCTCGTCGTATCGTGCCAGAGCGAGATACGCATCGCCAATGTTGCAGTCGATAGCTGCAACCTCGGCTTCCTGGCCCTGGGCTGCCAGGGCCATGCTGGCCAAAACGTAATGCTCGAGAGCAGCTTCGTAATCTCCCTTGGAGTCATAAACCAGCCCCAAGAGTCTCCTATCCGCGGCTTCTTCGAAAGAAGCAGGGCGGGCATTCTCTCTATGGATTTCAAGAGCCATCTGACAAAGCCTCTCGGCCTCGTCAAATTGCATTGCTTGAATATGGGCTTCAGCCACATACCTACACGTCTCACCAAGCCGGGAGTCTTTTTCCCCGAGCACTTGCCTCTGAATCTCGAGCCCGGCTGTGTAGAACAGGATGGAGTTCTCAATCTGACCCTGCATTGCATATGTATCTCCTAATTGCATACACCCTGCAAACTTAGCCAGTGCGTGATTTTGGCCCTTATCCATTGCCGGGATTTCAATAGACCTCTCAAGAACCGGGATTGCCTCTCGGTACCGGCCTAATCTGCAGTATAACGCCGCTGCAACGTGTAAACACATGACAAACTCCAAATTGGAGGAGTTGGGCTTCGAAGAAACCTCAAAAGACTTTATGGCACGGAGAGTCAAATCAAGAGCCTTTTGATCGTTTTCCCCCGAGGAAACCAAGGCCCTTGCCTGTTTGAGTAGATATGACCCGAGATACGTAGGCTTACCCCCCTTCCCACCATCCTCACCTCCTTTCCTCAAGGACTGAGGAGTATTTAGCTTCCTCAAGTTCGTTGAGCTCGAGCTCATCTTCCTCGTAAAAGGCGTTCTACCATGAGAACACTTGCTGGTCCTCGGATTTGGTTTCCGGGTAACTTTTACTGGAGAATTAAGCTTATTATTATTATTGTTCATCTTACCAAACTTTTCATCTTCACATTTTCCTTTTTCTCGGTCCGAAACAATACCAACTCCCGTGTCCTCCACCACCACCTCCTTTTTAATCTCCTCCACCTCTCCATAATCCACACCAGCAAGATACCTCAACTCGGAGTCAATTCTTGATTCCTCTCCATATGATAGGAAGCTTCGACGAGATGGCGAGTGATCAGAGCTCTGCATCTCGTAAACATTGTTATATAACTGCTCAATGGAGGTGTCCATAGCCCCATCCATGGCCAAATCAAAGGAATCAGTCTCAGCAGGGCTATGTGTATACAAGGGACTCCTAGGTGAACTCTCAGAAAACATTTCCTTATATGCTGCTCCCACAAACTGACCATCACTTTCTTCTCTATTAACATTACCTCCAATCCAGCCTTCCATCACAATTGGATCCATTCTTTCTGCACATAATATTCCTTCCATTTCAGCTTGCTTCAACCATTAATAAAACCCAAACTCATAAACACCATATAAAACAGAATAAAAAAAATATATTCTTTGACCACAACTAACCAACCCATCATTCATTTCTGCAACAATAATCTCCCCCATGGTGAAATTAAAGTATTCAGGACCAAAAAACATGAAACAACAATTAACCAAAGAAAGGAAATAATGATCATTGAGACATTGACAAACCCCATTGGAACAAACAAAGGAATTGGGTACATAAGATTCAAGACAATCCTACTGGGAATCAAAGAACAACCAAGGAAATTACAATATCATTAAAAAAAAAAATTCCAATAATCATTAGGGAAGAAAGCTCTAACCTTGATATTCAAAAAGGGAGGAGGAGCCCAAGCCCAATCTCTCTCTTGATTATCTGGCAAATATAGAGATGCGAGAGAGACAAAAGGTGCAGGTTTGTAGCTAACATGTGTCTTTATATATATAGGAATAGGATAGGCAGAGGGGGCAAGGAAATGTAGGATTGAGGATATAGATAGATAGAGGGGAGGGGAGGGTGGTTAAACAGAGGGAGTGGGATGACTAGAAATAAGAGTAAGAAAGAAAATTAAAATTTGGGAATCACATTCACATGAATGGAATTTGGGAAAGCCATGAAAATAATGAAGATGAGCTGTGGGGCTTGTAAAGAGGTTAAAATGTTGAAGCATGAAGGGGACCTGTTATCTCCCATCTCTCCCTTCAAAGGTTGGAATATTGAAGCATGAAGGGGACCTGTTATCTCCCTTCAATACCCCAATTCTTGCCCCCATTTTTTTTGTTTTTCTTTTTGTCTTTCAATTTTGTCATTTGTTTTTCGCCGTGAATATGTCCTGCGGCTGTGCCATCAAGTCATCAACGGCTGATCAAACCCAAAAAAAAAATGTAATCTTTTGTTCAAATTTACAATTTTAATGTTGAATTATTATTATTATTAAAAACATAAATAATTGTTAAAATAATAAACACTAACAACAACAACACCAAGAAGGGAAAACAACATTTTGACCCTTGAATTATTTTACTTTTGAAAAATTTAACCTCTGTAAGTTAATTTATACAAATTTAGCTCCTTAATTGTTTTGACAAACCTAGTTGAAAAGGTAGCTGAAAGCTGAAAAGATATAAGCTAGGAGCTGAAAATAAAAAGCTGTTAAACTAACTATTATGCTTGAAAGTGTTTGGTAAAATTAACTGTTTTGATAAGCTTATAAATGTAAAAAGACTAAAAAAGACATCTTTATAAAATTTAAATTAGTTTGTTTACATATTAAAATTTAACATTTTGAAATAAAACTATTAGCATAATCACGATCTAGCATCCCATAACATCTTCATCTTATTCATCATATATATTAGATCATCAATCTTAATAATAATAATAATAATAATAATAATAATAATAATAATAATAATAATAACAATAATAATAATAATAATAATAATAATAATAATAATAATCTCAAAAAAATAATAATAAAGGATAAATGTGCGGATAGAGAATTTGTCATTTCTTTAAAAATGTAATAATAATAATAATAATAATAATAATAATAATAATAATAATAAAGGATTTGTCGTGAAAGTTGCAGATAAAGGAGAAGTAAATGGTTTTTAATTGGAAAGAGTAAATGATGTTATTTTTTAAAAATAATAAGGATAAAAATGGAAAAAAAAAAAGTTAGGGAGCTACTAGCTTATTTTGAAACACTACTTTAGGTAGTGTTCTAAAATAAGCTCTTATTTTAAGCTACAAGCTTATTTGGGAACATTACCAAACAGAGCTTATAACCTAATAGTAATTTAAAATAATCTATAAGCTCCTAAATAAGTTTTGACAAACAGAGTCATAATGTTGCATTTCTAGTCCTTAGTGTTATATAATTGTTAAATTTCATTAGCAAACTACAGAGTACTTTTTATGAGGTTATTTTTGTCACTTAGAATCGATGTCCATTGTTAAAAAAAATTTCTCCATGTCAACATTATTTTTAAATTTTAACAGTGAATATTAATTTTAAATGGTAAAAATAACCTTATATGTTAATGAAGTATGACAATATATAATACTAGTGACTAAATGTATAAAATTATGTACAATTAATGGGCTAAATCTGTTTAAATCAACTCATAGGAGCTAAATTTTCAAATGTGAAATAATTCAGGACCAAAAGTGTCGTTTTAATAATAATTAATAAGAATAATAGCCCTAGCACATTATTATTGCAAAAGGCTGAACCCCAACCCTAAGGGCCCCCCACACCCCGGCCCGACAGAGCATTTGGGAGGAATAATAGCCCTAGCACATTGGTCTTAGGGGTGGTCATTTAAGTTTTCGGTTAGATTTTTTCAAGTCTGTTTCGATTTTGAAAAAATGAAACGATTGTGATAGATACTTCCAATTGAGCACCAAGCTTGGGGTAGGTGGGGTAGTCAGTCTTTATTACTTGGGACACTTAGTAGTTCAAGGGAAGAGGCCTCCTTCACAAGCAACGAAAGGCATGGGCACCCTGGCGACCAGGCTCCGCAGTTGACGTGTCCCTAATCGAGCTACTAGTTGGCACGGATGGGAGACCAGGCTGGGCAGTCGGAGTTTTCCTTGGACGGCAAGTAGTTTCCTTTTTCTCATTTTAGACAATTAATGCGCCGGTCTTGGTAATTTCCAAAGCATAATTTTAGTTATTTTCCTTCTTCTCGCCTTATAGAGGATCTAACTCCTTGTATAAATACCCTCAAGGGGTCATATTGTAACGGATCCGGAATTCAAATTATTAACGTTACTTTGCTCATTTTTCTCTCAATCACTTTACTCCTTCTAACCCAGTATTTTACGGTAGTGTTAGCCCGTCAAACGGATGCCCTAGGCCATAAAACCAACAAATTCAATTTAACATTCTAGTTTGGTTCGATTTCGGGTCAGATTTTGGTTTAGTTTGAGAAGCTTGACATTTCATAGTTATCTAGCACACATAATTATTTATGAAGTATTTATTATCACTAAAAATTTAAATTTCAAAAACTAAACAACAAGTCAATAATGCATGTTTCAAAATTTTTAATAAAAAATAAGTCAACAATGCATATTTCAAAATCCAAAGTCCAAACATCATATAAAACTTAATCTAAATAACAAAATAGCAATATAAGTGTCTAATAGGAAAATATAGAAAATTAGGGATTTAGTAATTAGTGTGTATATATATATATATATATATATATATATATATATATATATATATATATATATATATAGGGAAGGTATCAGGTGCATTTGTGGCTTCTCGTGCGGTTGATTAATGTGCGTGGGTTTTATACTTAATGTGCGTGAGTCTTGTGCTTAATGTACCTGAGATTTGTACTTAATGTGCGTGAGTTTTGTACTTAATGTGCTTGAGTATTATGCTTAATGTGCGTAAGGTTTGTGCTTAATGTGCGTGAGTTTTAACACAATCGCACAGGAAGCTATAAACAAAATACATTCAGACCACAAACTCACACCTCACGCTAACGGAAGCGATGAAGAACAGAGACAGGGGAATAGATGATTAAGGGAAAAGAGGAAAACTGTTTTATTAGGAAGATAAGACGAATACGTATATGATGAAGAACAAAGAGAGGGGAAGAGAGGATTAAGGGAATATGAAGAGAAGACGAAGACGTATATGGTGAATAACAGAGAGAGGAAGAGAGTATTAAGGGTAGGAAGGGAAGACAAAGACGAAGACGTATATGTACAGGAGCAACAGGAGCACATTAAATATTACACACTCACGCACATTAAGCACACAACTCACACACCTTATGCACAAGACTCACACACCTTAAGTACAAAACTCACGCACATTAACATTACACACTCACACACATTAAGTACAAATCTCATGCACATTAAGTACAAGACACACGCACATTGAATACAAAACTCATGCACATTAATCAATCGCACCACCGCATGGGAAGCATTCAACCGCACTAGAAACTTTCACTATATATATATATATATATATATATATATATATATATATATATATATATATATATATATATATATATATATATGTCTTGGGTCCCATGAGGACTCATCCTTAGGTGAGGACGTGTGGACTAATCTAGAATGTCTATTTGGATTGATCTACAAGCTACAATTTTTTGAATAATTAAATGCTGGTTTTTATTAACTAATGCATTATGGGCATTAAGGTAATTTTTGACAGTTTCCTTTAGCATGGTAACTGCTTTCACGTTAATTTCCTTGATTGTAGGCATATACACCCATGATTTCTATGCTATACATTTGCACGAGAAACACCACTATAACACACTTTATGCTACATCACGGTGCATATATATATATAAATTCAGTTCCCGTGTGGTTGGGTGTGCCCCGTGCGGTTGTGCAGTTAAATCTAAGCCATTAATCTTGCCTAAATCAATGTCCAGGATTAACAATTTTTTTTTTTAAAAAAAAACACAGTGGTAATTTGGTAATTTTTGCATCTAGGTCAAATTTAAGGTGCGTGGTTTTCATTCTTAAGGTGCGTGATTTTCCTTCTTAAGGTGCGTGGTTTGTGTGTTTAAGGTGCGTCGGTGTTGAAACTTAAGGTGCGTCGACCTAAAGCTTTAGGCGCGTGGTTTTTTTTCTTAAGATGCATTGTTTCCTTCTTAAGATGTGTGATTTGTATGCTTAAGGTGCATCATCACTTGTTGAAACTTAAGGTGCGCCATTTTAAAACTATAGGTGCGTGGTTTGTGTGCTTAAGGTGCGTGGTTTGTATACTTAAGGTGCGTCGGCCTAAAGCTTTAGGTGCGTGATTTTCTTTCTTAAGGTGCGTGATTTGTATGCTTAAAATGCGTCAATTGCTGAAACTTAAGGTGCATACAGGTTGTTCGTGTTTATGTATCTTCATAACTACTTTCTCAACCTATTGAAGCACAAAAAGTCAATACCACATCTACTAAGACTCGAATCCACAACCTCCCATATGAGAGAGCAGCTTAGTGTCACTAGATCACGAGTTCATTGACTTTTGTGATATAAACATAATAACTCTTTTTATTTTAACGAAATTTGATGCGTGTACTTATACTTTTAGGTCTCAAAAAGTCCAGAAATGATGTGGAAAATTATACTCCGTAGGAGGCCAACAGATCCGGGAAGTAAACACAAAGTTTGATGAATGATATGAACATCTCAACCTCATCAAAACAATACCATCAGACAAAGCATTAAATTCAGAAACCATCGCCCGTACACATTATCAACAAGACAACAACTAATCAATCAGAAATTGTAGATTAGAGAAAGAAAACAAAAAACAAAAAACAAACAAAAAAAAAAACAACATAATTGTTTCTTATTTTTTTGTTTTGTTTTGTTTTTCCCAAAACATTGTTACAATATAATTGTTTACTAACTGCTTAATTATATAATTAAGCAAATTAAATACATATCACTACATTACCAAATTATTACAAATTCTTAAATAACAAGTTGTATCAAACCATAAATATTTACACCAAAAAAACTTCACAAAGCTTATTTGGAAGCTCCCTTGATTCTTGGGCGACAGATTGTAGGTAAAGATGCATGAACAAGTCCAGACAACCCGTGTGAGAATTTCATTCTCTTTGTAGGAGTAATATTTTGTGAGTATCAGACATTGGTTCTCTCACAGGATGAATACTTGTGAGCATTAAACACGATCTTCATACCTAATGGATTACTGAATCTCCGTAATTTACTCATTCATAATTCGGTAAGACCCTTAAGACGATAAATTTTATTTTTTTGTGGGTAATCAAGATATAGTACTGGAGTTGTCAAGGCCACTTAGCTTATGATTGACTTTTAAGTCCATCTTGAAACTGGTTGTTTTCCTGTTAGATTACTCTATGTAGCTTGGAATGGCCAAGAGAACCTCCCTTATCCTCTCACTGCTCTTTCTTCCATCACAATTAACTTAATGTTCAAATTTATTATCACATATTCCCTTCATTAACAGGAAAACTTCTTCCTAACTACCAGTCTACCACCTATATTTACTTGAAAAGGAACAATAAACTACCTTAAAATGACCTGACAACTAGCTTAATTAACACGTATATTCTACAAATTATATATATATATATATATATATATATATATATATATATATATATATATATATATATATATATATAATCTATTTATTTCATTAGTCATACAATTGAACCTCACTAAAACCTCTATATAAATACAATATTGATTAAAAAAAAATTAAAAATTTACTAATTGTAGTTGATAGTTAATTATATAGAGTGACTCTTATATATGTGAAGTCATTTCATAGATCCATATCCGTGAAACAGATTGGGTCAATAAGGAAACTTACATTTTAAACTCAATCCACGAAAGCAAGGGTGCTTGGTTCAATCAAGGTTTTTACGCCTGGAATGAGAATTGAATCCAAAGTAGATGTTTGTTTTCCTTTTTATTTTTTATTGTTATTTTAAATGTTAATACTGAAGAGATGAGTTTTGCATTTAGAAGTAATGATAGATTTCGTTACCAAGTTGAACATGAGATTTTGTACTCAAGAATATAATGTGCAATAGATTTGAAATGTTAAAAAAAATAAAATTAAAACGTACTATTAGTAATAAATCAAATATAATTTTTCAAAAAAAAAAATAAAGAATAAATCAAATATAATATTCAATGTTGTAAAAATCGCACCTAGCTAGGCGCCGCCCGGTCACGGCGAGGAAGGCCTCCTAGACCGCCTAGCCGGTTGAATCAGCATTTTTTTTTTTGAAATTTTTTGTAAAAAGTTTGGCAAGACATAACTTTTGACTTAGTACATTTTTTTTTGAAATCGCGTATTGTTTTATATGCTATCAATATTATATATATATATATATATATATATATATATATATATAAGTTCGACTCTATGTGAAAATTATCTGTTGGCCTTCTTAATTTGACCCTGTAAGTTATGAGTAATCAGGCGGGTAATCTGGTATACCTTATTGTGATTTTTTCTGACTAAAATTACAAAATAAATTTTATTTAGAAGGCATTTTTGAATAACCGTGGACTTTCCTGTAAAATCAAAGTATTATAGTGAAATTTTTAATTTTTAATATATATTATGGCAGTACAAGTTTCCAAGTTTTGACTTTTGAGAAGTTATAGTTTTAGAAGTTAGTTTTGATTTATTAATTTAGATTAAAATATATTGTACACGCATTAAATACAATAGATTTAGACGTTAGGTAATTAGTTATGGGTAATGTTATATACCCTAATTTATTTTCCCTATAGGTAATTAGATATGAGTAACGTTAAAATATATTGTACACGCATTAAATATAATAGATTTAGACGTCTAAGTGTTGGTTATACTCACTTTTTGTTTTTAAGTTATTATTATTGACGTTGCATTTTTCATCACTTTACTAATAAAACATTATGAACAAAATTTGCAATTGTATTATAATTCAGGGACAAAAAGTGTTCACAAAAGGACAAAAAATGCTATGCTAATGATAAATTAAGGATGAAAAGTGAGCATGATTAACACTCATGGACGAATTCTAGAATTACCTTATAACTTAAGAACAAAAGGGTACAATTTTTTTCTAAAATTATAAAATATCCATGTACTAAGTAAAATTTTAATAGATTTTAATAATTTTGTTCCTTCATGAGTTAAAATTGTCACCTTTTTGAAGTGTTAGATTAGTATATTGCAAAGGTACTGTAAAAGTAAGGGACTAAAACAACTAGCAATGAATAATTGAGGGACTATAGTAGTTTTTTAGACTAAAATTGTTATAGACTTTGTTTTTTAGATTTATAACTTGTTAGAATATTGATTATGATTGATGAGGATATCAATTACTTAATATATTATACGAGTATTTTGTTGGAATAAAATAAATTAAATAGAAATAAATGAAGAATTTAATTATCAAATTTAGGACTATAGTAGTTTTTATTTATTTATTTTGATAATGTAATTATACAAATTCTTAACATTGGACATTTATTTAGTTGCGTATCGTGCTTTATTTAACTAGTACTAATCTACAATCTAAATACAATACATACATACATGGCAAATTATATTATGCACCGCGGTACATAATCGATTATGCACCGTGCATCTTTTTTTTAAAATGAAAATTAACAGTGTTTATTTCCGCCGTTTCGCACCCTTTTACAAAAAGTAACTCTGTTATTCAGTGTCATTTTGTATACACTGCAGTTTCAGTTGAACACAACTACAGTTTCATTTCGATATAACTATAGTTTCATTCGATATTTATAGACTCAAATATGTGAAAATGTTATTTAATTTTATTTTATATACACTATAGTTTTATTAAAACACAATTACATTATCATTTTGATATAATTACATCTTCATTGTATAATATACACTCAAATATGTGAAATGTTATTCAGTTTCAGTTTATATACACTGCAGTTTCATTTCACTATAACTACAGTATCATTTTGATATAACTGCAGTGTCGGTTTGGATATACTGTAGTGTCAGTTGGTGTTTAATACACCAAACAAACGGACTCCGTTAACTCTAACGGCGGGCCATTTCTTTACTTAAAGAAACGGCGTCGTATATGGGCCGCGGTGCATAATCGATTATGCACCGCGGTCTATAATATAACAACTGTACATACATATACAATTATATACAATTATAATAAGAGCCAATAATGTTAGGCCCTTAACTGGAACAAAAAAATGTCGGTACGATTGTTTCTTAAAATCAATGGTTCATATTATTTTGATTTTAGTATTTTTTTAATGATTTTCCTTATTTACCCTCTATTATATTATTTTCTTCCCTTAAATAACTTAAATTCCGTTAGTATAAACTTTAGTAACGGAATATTCTGTTAACTATTTATTATTTTTAACTTAATCATTAATTTCTATAAGAAAGGTCTTAAGTTCGAACCACATCCCAATTAAAGTTTGGCATAATTGTTAAACATATACTACGAATATGTTAAAATATATTAAAAAAATATTATATAATATAAAATTTAACATAAACTTTATTCAAATAATTAATCCGACTAAATACATAGGGATCGTTATGCTGTGAGCACGTGCCCACCTTGCAAGGTGGGCACGGTTCCATATCCATGATTTCTATACTGTAGATCCATAATTTATATACTGTAGATTCATAAAATTTATACTTTAAATTCATAATTTCTAAACCGTAGATTCATAATTTAAATACAGTAGATTTATAATTTCTATACAGTAGATTCATAATTTCTATACTGTAGATTCATAATATATGTACTGTAGATTCATAATTTCTATACTGTAAATTCATAATTTCTAAACTGTATAGTTATCAATTATGAACATATAGTTCTCTGATTTGTGAAAACAGAGTTCAACAATTGGAATCTAAAGTATAAATTTTATGAATCTACAGTATAGAAATCATTAGTTATATTATCTTTATTTTCTACAATTCAAAGATTCACTATCAAATTTATTAATTTATTATATTCACTACATTGTCCATTGTCTTCTTTTTACATTATCTTGTAATTAAATATCAAAGTTATAATACAAAATATGTCATATATATTTATTTATTTATCAAATATAATAAATATTAATATTTTGTTCAATACTTGCACATGATAACCTACGACACACATCTCACAATGCATGAAACATGTAGGGAAAAACTACCACTACCAAATATCAATAGGTGCTTGTAAGATAAAGAATTCATAGTACAACTAAGATTCCATCATATACACAACAAGGCAAATCTAAAACTTCCTACATCATAATCTCATTGCACGATGAATCCTTCTAATCTACCACAAGTAACTCAATTGCACACGACACACTACCAATTAAAAAAAAAAGGACATGTACGGAAGATGGAGGCAATGACAATGCTACCCAAAAGAGAATTAAGAAGAATTAGCGAAATTTAAACCAAAAATAGTATTTATTTAGACTATCGTTTTAGACTAAGTATTTATACTACCGTTATTACAAAATTACAAACATTTAATTTAGTGACAATTATAATCAATCTCTCATATATTATTTTGCATTTATATACTTTAAATTACCGATTTAAATAAACAAATTCAATATTTATTTATCTATGCATGAACATCTCCTATATAATATTACATTACTATACTTTGAAATACTTATTTAAAAATAATCATTGGGCATTATCCCATTCGCGTAAAGCGCGTAAAAAAACTAGTAATAAAATAAAATATAATAAAAGGCAATGGAGGTAAGGGTATAACGGGAATAAAAATGTATTGGTGTAATTGTTTGCAATAATGAGTTTTACATTTTGCTTACTTTTTATGCAATTATAAAATCTTCCCTCATTTGTCCTTATCATTTTATTTTTTTCGCCATAATGATACTACTAGAAATTACAAAACTTAAGAGTCAACAATATAAAATTTAACATAAACTTTGGTCAATTAATTAGTTAGGCTATATGCATAGCATTTAAAGTTGGATTACAAATAAGGAACTTTTAAAAGCATTTTTTCTATCTTGTTCATGCTCATCTCGTCTCTGTCCGATGAAGTTATGTATATTGCAGCGGGACATGACACGTCCTGGGCCTTATGGCTATTGAAGTCGCATTTGGGTTATCCTCTCAAACATGTTTTCTGAGTATCTTTATTTAGCTATTGTCTTTACTCCAATGAGATTCCACACCAAGTGAGTATCTTGGCAAAGTCAGGGTTTTAAATGGACTGCTTGCAGAAGCATGCTGACCAATTGGTTTCAATGAACAGAATCTCTATATGTTCAAAGGCCTCCTCCTTGAGTACCATGCAATGGTCTCCTCATTGAACACTAAGGAACCTGTGACAATTTATCAACTCAACGGTGATCTCATCGAGCACCAGTTCATCTACGCTAATGACATATCTTTGACCGCTCCCCCAGAGCCACCAGCAACACTTGTTGCCCAACGTGGACCATCCACTACCTTACAACTGGAGTTCACTACTGAACGACAAAAAAATTGTAGCATTCATCACATCAAAAAAACATCGTCTAAAGTGTGGTACAACTGTCTTGGTCAGCCCCACTCAAGAGCCTTACACAATAATATTCTATGCCATTGTCCAATGTCAAAGTCCTCAAGTAATATTAGTACAATTTGTTATTCTTGTCAACTAGGGAAATCCTCACGATTTTTGCTAGAACAAGTCAAAAAGTCTAGTTCTGTTGTATTAGATTTTGTTTACACAAATATTTGAAGACCATCCCCGATCTTATCTAATGAAGGTCATCATTATTTTGTTATATTTGTTGATAATTACTCTCGTTATACCTAGTTCTTTCCCATGAAACTAAAAACAAATATCTATGCCATTTTCCATATATTTAAAGCACTGGTTGAGTGAACCATCTCTTGCAAAATAAAGGTCATTCAATATGACCTGGGAGGGGAATAAAGAAAAAAAAAAAAAAAAAAAAAAAAAAAAAAAAAAAAAAAAAAGATAGACAAACTCTTCATCAGTTTTGGAATAGTTCATCGTCGATCTTGTGCTTATGTACATGAAAAAAAATGGGCGTGTTGAAAGACGCCACATACACATTGTCGAAACTGAACTCATCTTACACTCTCAAGCCTATGTACCTCCTAGAATTCCATTCTGCCACGCCTGTCTTCCTTGGTTACCTAGAGTCATTAAAAGGATATTGTTGTTTGAATCTCAATACTCAAAAAATTCTTACTATTCACCATGTTCGATTTGATCAGAATGTTTTTCCTTTTGCATCTAAAACACCTTCACGGATTCTTACTCGTGCTTGGGGTGCAATGCCATGTGTTGTCGTTAACACACGAAGTAGACTAGGCTGCACAAAGATCGACAAGGCCATGTCACACTCGTGTTACCCATCCAGAAAGGGACACGACATGTAGCCCCCCCCCCCCCCCCCCCCCCCCCCCGCCATGTCATTAATCCAAAAAGGGACACGGTCGTGACCGCCCTCCCCCCTTGACGGATTTGGCTCCTGAACATCCTCTAATTGTTTTTTTCCAGGCTCGAACGACATTGACAAATGCCCCAGCTCAACGAACACATCTTATATCCTTTGCCACATGACTTGTGACTCTACAAGTAATAAAGCTGCTTGAACGAGATATGAACGTAATTGGATGCAAGTCGGTGTTCCAAATCAAGAGAAAAGTTGATAAGTCAATTGAATGATACAAAGCCAGACTTGTTGCAAAAAAGTTCGACCAGGTTGAAAAAGAAGATTTTTTGACACTCTCAGTTTAGTGATCAAGCTAACAACAATTAGACTCCTCTTATATCTTACCATAACAAAAAATTGGTCTGTCTAACAGTTTGATGTTCACAACGCATTCCTAAATGGTTGTCTAAATGAGAATGTTTTTATGAAGCAACCAGCATGATACATTGACCAAAATCTTCTTAATCATGTTTGCAAATTGCAAAAATCTCTCTATGGTTTGAAGCAAGCACCTCGTGTGTGGTTTAAGCGTCTTCATGACTGTCTACTTTCAATAGGACTCAAGGCTTTGAAAATAGATGTTTCTTTATTTATATATTATGTTGCTAACACCCATATTTATTTATTAGTCTATGTTGATGATATACTAATAATGGGCAGCAACAAAATCCCCTTAACTTCTATAGCAAGTAGACTAGGTGATATATTCAAATAAGAGATTTGGGACCTCCATGTTTTTTTTTGGGGAATAGAGACAGAGGGGGTGATAGATCCTATCACAAAGAAGGTACATGATTAATACTCAAAATGTCGATGCAACAAATACTCCAGTTCTACTTTCTAACGTACGGACCAGTCTAACATGAGCGATTTCTGGACATTAACCAAATTTAAGATTGAGGAAGAAATGAAGCAGTGTTCAGGTATCTCTCTCTCTCTCTCTCTCTCTCTCTCTCTCTCTCTCTCTCTCTCTCTCTCTCTCTCTCCTTAGGCAATAAATGCTCCTTATATAGGCAAGCTATGGGGCGCATGCCAGTGTTCCGGCATGTCTTACATGTGTAAGGAGAAAGTTCACCAGTCAGTGAGGTTGTGCCATCACAAAGAGTCTAGAATGTTGAAGAGACGCGATTAGACTACTCCCTCGGTTATGAAGGTGTGTTAGTAAGGTTGTGAAATGCGCAATTGGATCGCTGATCGGGCTAACAGCCCCTCCTGGTTGGATTTGATTGGGAACAGGGTTGTGTGCCTTCAGCCCAGCTGGGCAGCTAGTCGGGAACTTAACCTAACCGGGCTACATGGTTGGGAAAAGGTTAAGATGCGATTGGTTTGGTTTGGATATGATCGGGGCCTGGGGGATCAGTTAGTCCTGGTCATATAGTCTCTATCAGAAACACTGCAAACCAATCTCAACTCTAATTCCAGTCAACAGCAAGCTAAGTGCAACAACCTCATCTCAACTGTATGAAAATCTGACATAATACCGCAATCTAATTGGAGCACTTTAGTATCTAACCATCACTCGTCCAGATCTCTCCTTTGCAATAAACAAACTCTACAAGTTCATGCACTCTCTAACCATTGATCATTGGGTTATTCTAAAGCTTGTTCTAAGGTATGCCAGTTACTCTAAACTACAGTATACATTTTAAAAAATCAGACTCTAATGATATTCATGCATTTTCATATTCTAATTGGGTGAGGTGTCCTGATGACGATAAGTTCACTAGTGGTTTTGTTGTGTTTATTGGTAAAATTTTAATATCTTAGGCATGTTGTAAGCAAAAGAAAGTGGTTAGATTCTCAACATAAGTAAAATACAAAGCAATAGCTGATTTTTCAACTGATGTAACATGCATGCATGGTTAGTTGCTCTTCTTCGAGAACTTAATTGGTCTCATTGTTCTAAAACCACCCAACTCTGTTTGATAATCTTGGTACTAATTTGTGTACAAATCTTGTTTTTCATGCCCGAACGAAACATGTAGAAATCGACTACCATTTTGTTTGAGATAAAGTAGCATCAAAGGAACTAGAAATGAACAGTGAACTACATCTCTTCAAAAGATCAACTGGCAGACATCTTATTAAGTCACTCACCACAATCAGGTTCAATGTCTTAAGCTAAGGGACAAATTCAATGTTCTCTGAACCTTAAGCTTGAGGGAGGGCGGGGGGAGGGGTTAGGATGTGGCTTTCATTCATTGGGTGTTCATGATTTGACTAACCTATCATTAATTAAAAATGAATTTTAGTAACCAATTAAACGATATCCATCATAAGTGATAGGTTAGATGGAAAAAAATAAAAGGTATCTAACATTAGTCTATATAAAATGTGATATAAGTAACACTCCATCATGCTCATGCCAAACCAATCAAATGATTGAGTGAAAAAAGGATTTTTTTTTTTTTTTCTTTATTTACCTACTTTTCTTTCTTCCCCAATGATTAGTACGTTTGGCATTTTGTAAAGGTGCTGCTCGGTGGTCAGGTACTCGTGTACAACCATTTTTTGCTTTTAAATCTTTAGAAGAAGACACTTGGCAGCTCTATCTTGGATTCTTATGCTTTGTATATGGCCGTAAACGAATCTTTTTCCGTGTAAGATATACTCTTTCCCATAGCTACAATATAGATAAGATTTAGGGAAAATGGCACTTTTTCCCTCTATGTTATATACTTATAGCACTTTTTTCCCCTCAATTATTTATGTAAGCATATTAGCCCCCTCAATTATTTTAAAAGTGGTGGTTTTCTCCCCTAATATATTAAATTGACATTTCTACCCTTAAAGTAAACATTTTATTTATTTTACTTCTCCAACAAATTATTGCGTATATGTAGCGATTACCACGGTTCGGTTCGAACTAAACCAGACACTATAGCAATCGAATTAAAAGTTTTCAGTTATGATTCAGATCTAGAACCCAATATTTGGATTTCAATTTATTAAATTTAAGAATTAAAAAAAAAAAAAAAAAAAAAAAAAAAAAAAAAAAAAAAAAAAAAACTGGATCATGAACCGACGGTTCCGGATCCCGTTCGCGATTTTGAACCGTCTTTATTTTAAAATTTTATTTTTTATTTTAAAATAGTTTAAATTCAACAATAAATGTATTTTATTTTTTCAGTTTGGAACATAAACCGCCCATTCCAGTTCGTGATTTTAATAAACTCTAAATATCGCGTTTTGATTATAAATTGTAATTGGAATATTTTGGTTTGGTTACTATAGTATCTGGTTTGAACCAAATTATAGTAAAATTTATTGGAGAATAAAAATAAATGAAATATTTATTTTAAGGGTAAATATGTCCATTTAACATTTCAGGGGGAAAAAGAGCCACTTAAATAATTGAGGGGGAAAAAGTGCTATAAGTATATAACATAGGGGGAAAAAGTGCCATTTTCCCTAAGATTTAATGCAAGTCTAACCAAGTTAACAATGTTAGTGTAAGTTTCGTATGGTTCATTTTAATCATTATAGTGTGATATATAGATTTTCTTTTTTCTTTTTCTTCTCATACCAATTGAATCGATAGGTAATTCAATATAAATTTAATCCTCTTAAACTTACACTACTGGAAATTCTGAAATTTCCGACCACCTGAAAATGATCTTAAATT